TGGCCTCAACCTCTAATAGGATCAAAGTGCCCTGCAAGCCCTAGGACTCCTTAGTGAGTCACTGCACATTGCTCAGTATCTCCAAGACTATGAATGAAAGCTGGTGCTCCCCCAAAATACTTGCCTCCAAGGATGACCCCAGGACACCCACATTATCCCCTCATCACAGCCTCCCTCTTGGGCCTCTTCACAAAGCAGTGCACTGTCTCCATTCCCACGCGACTGCTACAGTTACTCTGCAGTGCCTCCTCCCACGTAATGAAGAGCTCTTAGAAGCATAATTCTAATTCGCATTAATTCCAGTATTTTTATTTAAAATCTGTGCACTTAAAGATGACATCTTAATGCTATCTCAGAACAACAACTTGCCCAGAATAAGAAGAGAGCTTCATTTTTGGAAACACTTACTGCTAGATTTCAGACCACATTTTAAAAAATTAAAATACATGGATTGTCTTCATCACAAACTCTTCCTGAATATTTCATGTGTTTTGTGTTTTATTTGCTGTACGTATCTTCACAGTGTGCATATTATTCAAATATTCCTAACAGATGGTCTCAAGTGCTACATATTATATAGCATTAAATGAATAGCTTGGTAAACAAATGAGTCAAGGATTAAAATATTTTACAGCTTATAATTCATGAAAGATGTTCAATAACAGTACATTAGTGGGAAAAAAAATCCTTAAATGTAAACATAAAAACATTAAATGCCACTATTGGATTAGCCAACTGCTCGTGACAAATGAATTATTTCTTTAAAAGAAGTGTTTGTCCATGGTCTCGCAGCCTATAACCTAAATTAATCTGTGGTGGACAACTAGTTTCCCAGCGACCTGTGCCTACTGTCCCCCTTCTCCACCCAACCCTGGCTTCTCCTGTCATTTGCCCCTCATTAATGCCGCCTCCATAATTGGGACAGAAAAAGAAACTCATAAAAACCAATTTTGTTACTCTTTAGATTATCAGTAGCAAAATTTTGCTGAAAGAGGCTGAAATTACAGATCTACAGGTTCAAATTGAGAATTCTGAATCAGCCGTATTTTTAATTATCTGTGCTTTTTACTTTTTTAATATTAGGTTTCTATGACAGGCTAATCTACTGTTTGGCATTGAAGTTTTCATTGAGGGTTTACATGACTAAAACAAACAACAAACAGACACAAAGAGCCCCAAATCCAACAACTTTTGCCAGCGTGCAGATGTCTTTGAACCCATTTCACACTGTTAATGTTCCAGATATAATTCCGAGGAATAAAAGCCAAGAAAATCCTCTCCTATTGGGTATTCTCTCTCATACCACTCTTATTTTAAATGACATTATTTAATCTATTCCTAGTGATCTTTTCCTAATCATTTAGGGTTTCTAATATTTGATGCAAGACGTAACAGGAATTTCAAAGTTCATTCTACATTTTCCTAGAAATAAAACCTCAACCCAGTTTTGTTTGTGAAAAGGACGTCATAAGCTTTTTATCAACATGTTGACAAAACGATTGATATCATGGCAAAGTTAGAAAGTGCTCATTACGTAAAGCCTCTCAACTAATGAAGTTGGCTTCATTGTTATCTTAAGGTCCTTCCCATAATTTTAGGCATATAGTCAACATGTTATTCTAGCACATTCCATTATGTAGCTGCATTTTCTATTTCCTTTTGTATGCTAATCTCTTTTGCCTCAGTTAAGGCCTCTGCGAGGCTGAGCAAGATGTTCTCCTTAACTAAACCTGGCATAGCCAAATCGAACCAATTGGAAGACAGACCATCTGGCAGTTTTACATTAAGGCCCATTGCGTATTTTTTCCCTTCTCAACCCCAATATCCAATCTTATTGCACAAGCAAAGCATATATCAATAATCAATAGCATTTGTTATGTCTGTACTTCATTCTTATGAACACTCTACCTATAGGAAATTTCATCATACTTGAAGTTTTCCTTTACAATATAAAACATCCATGTCATCAAAAAACTTTTAAAAAGTTCATAAATAAATTCAGAACTGACAAGGAAAGTTAATTAACATTAAGCTAAAAAAAGAAGATTTTTCTGAACTACATTAAGCTAAGGAAAAAAAGCTGTGAGGGGGTCTCTATCTCAATGGTTCTCAAATTTGAATATGCGTTAGAATCACCCCAGGGTGGCTTGTTAAATTGGCTTTCTGGGTCCTACCCCCAGAGTTGCTGATTCGGAGGTCTAGGGTAGGGCCTGGGAATTTGCATTCTAACAGGTTCCTAGGTGATGCTGACATTGCTGCTCTGGGGACAACACTGAGAACCAGTGATCTAAACTAGCCATCTTTCCTGACCCGGCTGGGATCAAAAAGTATGGTAGAACTTTAAATGGCTAATGTACAAAATTAAACCATGTGAATCAATGGCCATTATATCTTAATTGAAATATGTATTGCATGCCCTAAAAAAAAAAATCACATGAAAATATATTCACTTTCTATTACTGAAAATTCCCATACGACATACGGGATTTGCCCTTAACACAGCACAGCATTACATGAACTGATCTTTGGGACACTTGTAGTTTTTATATAATTTTTACCAAAAGGGCAAGATCATCATAAATAACATAGTGGAAAGTCACAACCACCACAAGAACAGTATGTAACAGACCCCAGGATAACACTCTGACACACGTTAAACACCAGCGCAATGGCCCTCAGGCTGGACCTGGGTCACCTGCATGCACTGTTTTCCCTCTGAAAAGCACAGTCAGGCTCAGGGAGAGGCATACTGGAAAAAGTCCTTTTTAAATTAATTTTTTATTGTGGTAACATTTAGCATGAGATCTACCCTCTTGACAAATTTTTAAGTGTATAATCCAGTGTTGTTAACTGCAGGCATAATGTTTGTTGTACAGACCTCCAGAACTGTCTCACCCTGCAGAACTGAAATCTGCACAGCGACTCTCCATGTCCTACCGACGCCCGCCTCCCCGCAGAAAGTCCCGAGCTGTGGTTCTCACTCTTACATATCACATACACGCCACATCTCTCTCAGTCAACCCATTTTTTGATTAAACACAAAATCATTAGTGGGGAAAGTAAACCACCCTACTCTGAATTGTTCTTACTACGGCCGCGAGGATGATGATGGCGGACGGTGCAGCAGAAATATTGACTCACTAAGGAAGAGGCTGCAAACTGCTGACTCTCAGGATTTTTTTGTTTCTTAAAAAAAAAAATGAATTAGCTGCAACATTTGGAAATCATATTTCACGTAAAAATCTGTATTATTTTCAGTTTCTCGACAGATCGGGTTTAGCAATCCTGGCCTTGCATTCGTTTCCAAATGGACACAATGGGCTGGAGCTGAACAGCTGTTGCTCCCTTTTAGTGGGGAAAATGAGCTCTCTAGCCACTGTCTCTTGCCACTGTCCCCAGTAATCCCTATCCTTTTATACCTGAACTGCTGTGTCACTTGCCGTAGCTGCCTGGCTCTAAAAATGTTTGAGTTTGCAGTTCCTGCACTAAGGGTTGTAGGACAAATGAGAAAGTCTGCTGGGAACTGCACACAACCCGAAGTCTGTCTTACACACTTTTTTGCCATTCACCAGAGCATAACAGAATGTAACATTATAATAGCAATGACCTTTACTCTGTTCTAATTTATTAAAAAATAATTTGCAAACTTTGATACTAAGACTAGCAACAAACCAGACCCTATCTTACATTTGACCACACACCCCATAATTGAAAATCTCTGACAGAGAAATTGGATTTTTTGCTTCCCAACATAAATTCTGGTTTTTTAGTGTGCCTAGCAAACCATGAAACCATTGAACACGTTAAGAATCAAATTTTAGGGTGTGAGTACAAGAACAAAATTAAGTACTTTTAGTTCATGTAATTATAAGTATGTACACACATTGTTTATACATATTAACTGTATAACCATAAAAATATAAAACTATGAAATGGTGGTATCACATAAAAATATTTGAGGAAAAATGTAAAAAAAAGTTTAGCATTCAGGTCACAAGCCCGTTACTTTGAAAAAATTAACAGAAACATTTCTGAGACAGGCATTAGAACAAGACCTATGTGAAAATGGCCACTTTAACAGAATAATAGCTCTTCTACTTCCAAATTATCCCAAATATCTTTTGTCTCCACAGACTAAGGCAGAAGAAATGTGCATGCTGGGGACAGGGACAAAGAGGAAGGATCTAGGTACAAAGAGGAGATACACCGGGAGAAGTGGCAGGGCAGGTGGAGGGAGCCCTGCAAAGGGCAGAGCAGGTCAAGAACAGGAAGGTGTCCTGGCCTGCAGAGAGACCCCCGTTCCCAGTGTGTGTGATGTGTGTGTAAGAGTACGTACGGATCACGTCTCATGATCTAGAATCAAACTGCCTATCACAGCGCCACATACAGTTCCACACACGTGCACACACGCACATCGGACCCGTGTTTCCGTCAGAGGGCATTTCAGACTGCTGCGCTGAGGTGAGCCGACTGGAAGTGGTGGCAGATTAGTGACTTCTGCCACGAGCTGGAGGGTAAGAAGGGGTGAGAAACGCTATGGGTTTGCCAACCCTCCTGTACCCTTTCTTGAGTACCACTAAGTGTTTTTATTACTTGGCATAAATTCCCTCTGAAAGCTTATACACTCCTTTCCTTACAGGGGTGTTGTGAGGAATAAATAAAATAAGGCACAAATAGAAAGCACTCAGCTGAGGCTTAGCCTACAGATGTCATTTTCTACCAAATTGTACGCTCCATCCCTACAAGGGGATGTCTTATATGTAGAGGGCATTCACACATTTGTTGAAGAATGTTCACTTCATGGTACTTAGAAACTACCCTTCTGAATGACTTTTCAGAACTATTTTCACAGTGAAGTTTGTATGTCTTCCAGAATACTCTTGCTACAATAAACAAAATAAGAGGAATCCTAAGGATTTATTATAAGACAGGGAGGATTTATGTACAATTGTATTATGGTGACACTGTTTTATCTACAATAAGAAGTGTTGACAACTGAATAAGTTTAAACACTTTAATCAACTATAATAAATCAATAATTATATAAAAATTCTGATTCATGCATAAGATTACATAAATTATACAATTGTCACATTATACAATGCTTACATACTGAGTTTGTATATGCAAAAATGTACACAAGTTACTAGAGCACTTACTTAAGAAGTGTAATACTCTTCAGTTATAAATAATGGTTATATCTTTCAAATACCTGCTAAATATATACATTTCTAGATCTGCAGCATTTTTTGTACCTCAAAATATAAACCATCTGGAAGCTCTGAAGATTAATAGGCCCAAATGTATCATTTGTTAGACTGCAATTCCATTGTAAGAGTGGATTTTTTTTTTGACAGAGAAAATAAACGGAATAAAACGTCAACTCTAGTTTAATGCTTGAAGAGCTTCCACACTTCTTATTAAATACACCAGAAAACCCTTCATATGCAGATTAGTTAAGGTGCTACCTATTGCATATTAAATACTTCCAATGATTGCGTCAGGATTATTAAAGTTATACATCTGTGAAAATGGGGGCTTTCCCCGTGTGCTGACAGACCTTTCCACCTGCCATCCCGACCACAGCACTGCGATCCATTCCTTTACTTCAAAGAGACCAAGTGAATGAGCATGCTTTATACTTTACTTACACACACAAATGACACCTACCATCTACAAGACATATGAGTACATGAACATCAAAAAAGTTTCAGCCTGATTTACAACTCCAAGGTAGGTTGCTTTTTCTGAAAAGCTACAGAGGAAAATAAAAGCTCTAGTGTAACAACTACTATAGATATATTAAAGACAACATTTTGTTTTCTTTCCTTTTTTAAAGATTCTCCTTGTTAAAGAATAAGCACCCTTTTGGGGGTGGTAGGCAGGGGGTGTGGGGGTGGGGAAGTTGGTGAAGGAAGGATGTGAAGAAAGCAAGTCTGTCACTAATGAGCTTAGTTGTACTTAGGTTTCCATTCATGAAACCCTTTTAAATACAAGGCAACATTTTCACAGCTGGAAAATTACAACTAAATCTTGATTTACTGCCAAAAGCAATAGATGTAGTTATGTATAACCTATGGATAATACTACATTCATGGGACAATGGCATAACTAGGGTCAATGCAGAATATAGCAGCAAAAGGCAATACTTAGACACGTCTCATGAATGGGTTTCATGTTATTTTATATACAGTTCTAAGATATGACCCTGGTATTCAATAAATGAAACTGGAAGCATAAGTGGTAGGAAGGTATGTTTAACATTTTAAAAGATAACTTTTAGAACTGGGAGAACTGGCTGGAAAACAGTTTTTTAAATAATAGCAGAAATAGTTTAATTATGTAATAGAAGTATGTTATCTTACTTGAGATAAATATCAATTCTGTGACTTAAAAAAATTCTCGTGGTGGAAATGTTTTTAAGCATGCATTCTTTTAAGAAGCAAATGTAAAATCTGTTTCTAATCTATTGGACCGTGCATTATTTAATGAGCACATATATTTTATTTCCATTTCTAAACTACTAACAAAATATATCATTAGAATACTTAAAGTTACCTTTTGCAAAAATAAACTAAGGTGATCCTTTTTGGCCTTTTTCTCTACAATGCTAGAAATTAAAACTACTGTTTGCACTTCTGCCTAAACACAGGAAACCCTGATATGTTTACTTGGGAACTCATTATTACATTTTGTTTTTAGCTTATTATATTGACTGATTATGAAAATATGTAATATGTTTACTCTTGGTCATGAATGAAAATTCATAAAAAACATTTTTAGGCAGTGTTAAATGTAGATTGTTTTAAATACAATACTTAAAATTTAAAGATACAAATATTGATTCTGTTATAGTCAAATCACTCATGTATAGATAAGTCTAATGCTTAATAGTTTTTATATAGGCAAATAATTGATCCTTTAAAATGAATTTCCTCATAAAAGGAATAGCAGTGCTTGAACCATACTTTTTAAAGAGCTGTATTTATGTAAAACATATCCCCAATACAAAACTGATATCTCAGTTCATTCTGTAAAGAGCAAATTTGGCCAAAGTATATTACAATGTCTTCTCATATCTGTCATAATACTGAAAACAAATGGATTTTGGTATTTTAAAAAGTGTAACAAGAGCCTCAATAATACTACCAGAAAAAACTAATGCTAAACAATTTGTAACATTTAATAAATGTTAATAAAAGTGGCACCATGTTAAAAAATTGTAATTACCAAGACCTCAAATGGGGAAATAAAATTCTACACCAGATTTTGAGGTTTATTATAGAACCTTAATTGTAAGTGGAGGGAAAAAATTGATAAAGGCTACCTTTCCTTCTCCATTTCTTAATTTTGTTAAAGTACTTACTTTTTTTATTTTGAAAAAATTTTCACAATTTCAAAATGCATGCTCTCATAGGAAAGCTAAATAAACTTAGAAAATACAAATAACTTGGGATTTTAGTTTATGAATATAAGCTTGGCCAAGTACTCTTTGATTCAAAATATTAAAATAAGCAAAACTATTATATCTGGGTTTTATTTAACTTTTAATGAAGTCTTAAGAGATAAACATTAGAAAAAAATACAATTTAATAAAGGATTGGGGAAATATGAGTCTCCATGTGGAGATGAATTTTTCATTTTAAATTCAGAAAGATACAGATACTCTGTGTTTCACAGTAAATATTTTAGATTTTCAAGGCTGAAAAATAAGCAGATTAACAACATTTTTATAGCACTGCTTTTCAAATTAAATTTCAGAATAATTTTATACAAATACATATCTATGGAAAGGAACATTTTTGAGGAGTAGACTTTAAAAAAAGGCATAATTTTGTAGTAAGTCAACCCTTAAAGGCTGGATGGTAATGTATAATGTCATCCTAGCAGAGATCTGCTCTAAAAACTCATTCTGCCTTTAGTTAAGTCTTATTTTGGTTCAAGACCCAAAGCAACCATCTGCTCTATTATTGATGTAACTTGAAACAAAGCCTAATTCTTCACATCTAGAATTTGCCTACTGCTTTGGGGTATCAGGCACCAGACAATCACCTACTTTTCTTTCCCTAAAATTATTTTCAGATATAACTTCACAATATTTTCTTTGCTAGTGACTTAAAGGCATGCAGAATTTCAACAAAAACAAATGCATTAGCTTACCTTCTGCTTATACCTTAAACACAACTCAAATGTTAAGAGAATTAATTCAAATAAATTCATGCTGTTGTGAAGTTAATGAAGGTTCCTAAAATTTGTTATTCTTTTAAAAAAGAACTTTGGAGCATTACTTCTGGGAAAAGAGCAAAAATTTAATGCTGGAGTAATACATAGCAGCTTACTTTGAAACCAAGGTTCACATAGTCAAGAGTGATTTGAAGCAGCTTCTCTGTAACAAATCATAATAGTAATAACGATGACGACTTGTCTTACATCGATAGAGCACACATACATTTTCAAATTTAGAAACTGGTACTAACCTTAGAGGCAACCAGTTGTTTTTAAATGTTCTAAAAACACATGTATATATGAGGTATATGCCTGCATTTTATATACAAGATACATGAACATATATTCATGTACATATATGTGTATATAAAATATGAACTGTATTTTCAGTAGTGTTTATAATGAGCAGTATTTCTGACACTAAATATGACAAATTGACTTCTGAGAAACCAACTTATCAGTTCTGTTTTATGAAAAATCTATTCCTGAGGAATAACTCATTTACTTCTGAAGATATTTCTAGGCCTATGGCAGATTATAGTGGGCCAGCTACCAGCACCTAAGTGAATCTTAAGGAACTGCTTATTCATGGAGAATCTGGCCTATTTTTAATTTAGCTTGCTTCAAAGGTCACTCTTGATAGTCCCTGCTATTCAATAATATTTATAGGTAAAACTATTTTTCACAATGAAGGAGAGTATGAAATGAAACCTCATAGTGCAGTCTCTTTCACTAACAAGTTTTTCCTTTTTTCTCTCTCTCTCTCTTTTTCCAATTAAATGCAGTACAACTGGCTTTATTAACTATTGGAGAACTTGCCAGCTTTCCTGGATGGCTCGTATGGCACTCTGAGAATACTGGGCGTTTCTTCCATCACCCTTACGAGGAGGTTGTCGATGTAGTCCTCGAGTTCCCGGATGTGGGTGTCTTTCCTCCTAAGGAGTTCTTTGTGTTTTACTAGCTCCTGTAGTACCTCTTCATAGGTCAGACTACGATATCCTGCAGTGGCATCAAAAGGGTTGCTGTCCTAGAACAGGATAAAGACTGTTGTTTTAGTAGATTTAACAATAGGGGCAAGCAATAAGAATTATTTAGAACTTCAACTTCTGGTTTTTCAAAGCCTGATGAAGTTTCTTTACCCTTAGCTAGAGTTAATGTGAGAGTTCACAGCCTGGCCAGCCAATTCTGAGGCAAGGACTAGGGCAGAGGCACCACAGCCTTGATTATAACTCTGAATTCTATAATGCTTTTTTACCTGATGGCCAATTTCCTAATATCAGAGACTGACCATATAATTTAAGACTAAATTAAGAGATAAAATGTTGTTTAATAAATATAACTAAAATAGATTAAAACTAAAGATCTCTAAGAATTAACTTGAAGCAACTACAGGAAGCTACTGAAAACTACACATTTGGACATGTGTCCTCATGGAACTGCTTCCACTGAATGGTGGCTTAACGTTATACCTGTGGCTTTTTATTGAAGATGACTACAAGCAGCAATAATATTAATATCAAATCTGTGTTTTTGATTTGCTACGAAATGTTGAAAGCACTGGGAATTAAATCAATGAGCAGCCTTATAAGCCCCATGGGAGTAACTTCTGTTTTTGTTTTTTTCCACCACTCACCCACTCTCTCATAACTTCTGTTTTAATTTAGAAGCAAGCAGAGTTTTTTCTTTCCTGAATAATGGGGCTATTTCTTCCTCCTAGTAATAACAAGTAATTTATTCCCCTTTTTGCCTTGGTTATCAGTAAATTCAAGAGTTCAACTATAACCATGTTAATACTTATGGTTAGTATATTTACATTCTCTCCCATTTCACTTATTTATGTTGTTAACTTTATTCTAATAAATAATTTTAAAATTCTAATTTTAGGCATAAGCAAACATATAACCAAAAGAGAAAGAAAAAGACATTTAATTCATTTTTATTACACAGCATTCTAATATTAATGTGACATCAAAAGCTAAAGAAAAATATTTCTCAGGAATTTAATCAAGAAGGCACTGTTAATGTTGTCTTCTATTTATAGTATGTAGCATTTAGATTTTTCATTCTGTAAAATAAAGTTTCCAAATACAACTTAGCAATTTTTCTGCTTTTTAAAACACCATTCTATCACTATGTCCAACAACTTAAAATGATGTTCATCACTTTCTTTCAAAACATTTCCATTTGGCTTTAGGAAAATCAACTAAAATATTGAATAAGTTTGTTTTCTTGCTCTTATGGACAAGTGATACCTAATCTATTCAATGAAGGATGGGAAATGAGGACTGACCTTTTTTTCTTCTTGCCCCATAGGAATTAAATTTGTCTTTCCCCATTTTTAGGATCTACTTTAATTCTGTTATGTGTCTAAAAGTTTTCATCAGTAAAGCCAAAGTTTAACTCATGCCCCAGCCCCAGTCATGATTTGCCAGCACTGGAGAAACAGAAGGTAGAGTGTGGATAGCAATTTGATGTTTGGGTCACTGAAGCATGACCCCTTCCTCCAGGATAAACAAACAAACAAACAAAAATCAAGATTGAAAAACTTCTCCATTTCCTAAGACTCTCTAAAGCTTTGTAGAGAAGATACAGCTTGCACCAGGACTTCAAAGAGTATGCAGACGCAGAAATGCATAATGGGCATTTCAAGCAGTGGGCTCTGCTTGTTCAAAAGAGGAAGCAAGGTTCAAGGCATAGTGGCCCATAACAGGTAATAGGTGGTTGCACAGAAAATGCGGTACAGGATAGGGAGGAGAGAGGGGCTGAAATGGTAAGTCTGAAAACAGACCACCAAGGATGCTAAATGTTATTATTAAGAATTTTCAGACTTTTGCTATGGGAAATAGGAAGCCATTGAAGGTCTAAACCAGGCGTCCTCAAACTACAGCCCGTGGGCCACATGCGGGTGTTTTTGCCTGTTTGATTTTTTTACTTTACAATAAGGTATGTGCAGTGTGCATAGGAATTTGTTCATAGTTTTTTTTAAACTATAGTCTGGCCCTCCAACAGTCTGAGGGACAGTGAACTGGCCCCTGTTTAAAAAGTATGAGGACCCCTGGTCTAAACAGAGGAATGATATGATTAAAGCTACAGTCCATAAAAATTAAAATGGCAACAATGGGTAAGATCTTTGGAGGGGCTGAGATTGATTAGTCATAGAGCTATTGAAATATTAAAACCAAGAGCTAATACGAATGAATAGAAAGGATATTAAAAGGAAGTGAGTTTAAATTTTATAAAATATATCAAAAACAACTTATTTTATTTTAGCATTAGAAGCTGGCAACAGATATAACTTTATGAGTTATATCACCTTTGTCCCTTAAACCATTTCTAATATTGTTCTAAAACCATTAAAGTACAATTCTAGAAATAAGTGTTAGTTTACTTTTTATTCTCTTCTCTCTCAGATCAATTAATCTTTTACAAGAGTAAGTCTATACACAGATAGGTACTTGCACAGTGACTAGTTTATTTAACTGGTAATGAGGAGTTTAGAGATATACAACATATTAATTTCTTAACTATATTCCTATAAAACATTTATTATATTAAGCAGTTTTATATAGTAAAGATAAAGCACAGTACAGAGATAAGTATATTTTTGAAATTTGTTAAAAAATAAGCTAACTTCTTACTTTAACCCAAATAGTTCTGCATAAATTTGAGAAAGAAACCAAGGTCTCACTTTCCTTATCTGATAAATGAGAGGTTCCCCATGGTCTCTTTCAGCCTTAAAACTGTCTGGTCTACAAACTGATTTTTCTGAACTGCATTTTTTTATAAGTAATAAAGTCCAACTAATGTGATTTCATTGTTCTAATAAAACATTTACTGAAAAATGGGAGTTCTTGTGAGAATTGCAGGGATTAAATGAAATTAAAGTAAATGGGATTCATTACTGATTAGTTGACTGCTTTATGTTTTTTTTTTAATTTAACATAATAGCATCTGTTTGAATCTCTCTAATCTTAATGAAATTATATATATATATGAGCTGATTTCTCCAAACTAATTAAGTGATGATATACAGTTAAAAATTATTTGCACTCTTATATTTTAACACTATACAAGTTAACTACCAGTTAATGTAGTTAAAAACATTTTTTTAACATTTCTCTAAAGATTCTGAGAATAAGACATGTCAAATAATATCTAAATTAAGGCCATGATATAAATTTAATCTACCAATTTAATCTCTCAAAATAATCAATTATTATCTCAGACTATTGTTCAATTCTTTATAGCCATAATCTAGAATATACAGATACATTATTATTGGCTTATTTTTTTCCCTCACAATGACCTCACACTAATGTGTACACAGATCTCTTAGAAATACATTACTAGTCTTTTCAATAATTTTTCCTTTTGTCCTTTTAAGAGAAAATTTTACCCTAAATTTCTGCATCAAGTTTCTGAGCAAGAAAACATCTTAGAAACATATGTACTATAAACTATATTCTGTAAAAGAATATAAAATAATTAAAAACAGTTTCATGCTTAGCTCTAGATTTTATCCCATATTTAAAAACCATTAAACTTTCTAATTTTAGGTATAAGATTATTAAATTGACTGATATAGTCAATAAATATATACCTACCCTTCTGTTTGTTGATATAACTCCAAATTAAATAATAAAGATTAATATGAACAATTGAAAATTAAAATATTTTGCTACAAAAATTATTTTGCTTAAAGGGAAAATTTTCAGGCAAATATAAAAATTATTTTTAAAAATATACTTTTATTACTATTCTTGGAAAAAAACCCTAAAATTTAGAAGTCTCCAAACCGGTCAGGACCAAATACAACCTACGATGAGACTCCTAAGTACTCAATATTTTTTCCTATAGCACTCCTTATAGACAGCACATATGTTTTTAAGATGTCTTCTTATTTTGAAATTTAATGTAAATTTTTCTTCTTTCTTCCTCTTTATAGCCAATCTTTTCTCATTCCTACCCTAACTTTGTTTAAAAATGTCCATATGCAGATATAAAAAAACGTAGACTGGGTGAGAGAATAATAGAATTATTACATGAGTTTTTCTAATCCAGAATTTTAAATAATACAGTTGTGCATAGGACTTTGAGAATTACTGATGATCCATTTTTATTTTACGCATAGTCCAGCCTTTTAAACTAGGAAATGGACATTTTTTACAATATTTAAATTTAAACAAAAGCAAATGTTCAGGACTCAAAATAACTGGAAATTTAAAGAAAGGTTGTCCTGGTAACCAAATATTGGTGGGGTACTAACTGACATCCAAGGCAACTAGAGGGGAGAGAGAGAGAGAGATGAAGGCTTGGCATTCTCTGATCATCTCATTATTGTTCTAATGAGGAACTTTGCTCTGGGAATATCATCTCAGCTACTTTCACATCTTTTGTCCTACTCCCTTCATCTCCCTTTCAGTTCTTAATTAGGCCTTAAAGAGCTCACACTGCCCTTTCAACTGGCTACTGCTCCTGTTTAAACACTGTGCTTTCACAGACAGGTGTTGGCACTAGCATATAAGATATACAAACTTAATTACAAAATACTATGTCTAGAAGGGGAAAAAAATAACTTGGTGGATGGCTATTATTGGAGAACTTAATGTAAATTACTTCAAACATCTTATAATCTTCAACATAAAAATTGTTCAAATACTTTTCTTCCACAGTGATCAGTATAAGGATGAGCTTTCTCCTCTTAATTGTATCTTGCAGTAAATTAACAACACCTAGTAATCCTTTAACTGTCATTTAGAATAGTTAGTATTCCAGAGAAAAATAATCACACATCAAGGATTCTTTTATCACCTTTAAATCCTTTAACTAAAACAATTTTCACATTTTATTTCTTTAAAGAATTCTAAGGATGCTTTTACAGCAATAAATTACAAGATTTGGAAAAGTACATTTACAAGCACATCGAAATTGTAATTAAGGTTACTAATAAACAATAGCTACACATTAAATCGATTTTTTGATGTTGCATTTTGTTTGAGATTAAGCAACTGCCTGACAGAATTCATTTTACTATCTGATCAAAGGCTGACTTCATATTTTCTGACATTTCTTGCCAGACTGCCGTTATTATAAAGACTTGAGAATTTATGAAACATCAAAACTTACAAATCATTTACATAAAACAGCCAAAAATACAGTACAGAGTCCTGTGCTTCTCTAACATATTCTATAATTTTAAAGACAAACAACTGCATTTAGAATGGTTTATAAAATAAATTCTAAGCCCACATTGCCTTCTTCTAAGCATATCACATCCTAGAAAATCGTGATATGTGATCACTTAAAAATTTCTTATTATACATCTGGATCACACACATTAAGGACAGATGGTTGAAACAGCAACTGCCAGCCTTTTGGAATAAAGGCTCTATTTCTGTTATTCAGTGAGAATTTAGTTTTCTACCAAGAACATTTGCCCATATTTTTGTAAAGTAACTTATTCTCTATGTTTAATATATTTAAAATTGATTACAGATTCAATGGAACTCTGAATAGAGATTCAACACTGGACTTCAAAAAACAATACAATGAAGTTAAGATTATCTGAATAACCCTTGCAAAATGCATGAGCAGGTCGCTACCAATCCTGTTAACATATTTGGTTTTGTTTTGCCAAAGAAGATAAGTGTCCTAAAGTATTTGTTCTTTCAAATACTTTCCTGGTTATCTAGAACTCTTGCCAGGACACTTTTCCTATTATTGAATATTAACAAGCATCTTTATTCTTTCTTCAATCCTTGTCCCAACAACAAGTCTTTCCACAGGCTCTTATTTCATAACTATTATGCTGAACATATATAGCTTTCATATTAATTTCAAAACAGTCTGTAAACAAAATACCTATACTCTAAATTTGCTTCAATTATAACTATAATGTTTACTTGAAGATTACACATAGAAGTCACACCCTATTATATATTAAAGACAAAGTCTGAATTTCATTTTCTTTCTTTCTCTCAAACATGCTAACCTTAGGTGACTGAGATATTCAAGAAGATGAAGGCATTTTTACAAACTGGTTAGTTCTCTGGTAATTCTCTAATCCCCTGAGTAACTTACCGGGATTTTCCTGAGGTCTTCATTGCATGTCGGATTCATATGAAAACTAAGTAATAAAATACAAACATAAATGTTAAAAGTGTGTCATAGTCTATGTGGGAGGAAACATAAAAATAAAACCTTTTTAACCAAGATTGCAATAAAAATATCCGAAGTCCTAAATAACTGAGATGAATGAAATTTAATACAAGCTGTAGGAAAAATAAAAAAAAAAAATACTTACTCAGCATTCACAAAATCATCTACAATTTTAAACTTTGAAGTAAATCTTTCAGTTATCAAAACTGAAGAGCTAAATATGTAATTCCTAAACATCTTTAAACACAGCAATTTTAGCAAGATATTTTATAAAACTAATTTTTATAACATATTGCTCATTTTAGATACATAGTCACCTTAGGCCCCTGACATAACACTAGGGAGAATTAAGTAAATTTAGATTAGAGAGATTGTAGAATAAAGAAATTAAAGCAACCTTTGTTTAAAATGCTACAGGTATTAGAAAAAGTAACTTTCAAATATTATCCTCTCAATAAGAATGAATTCAGAGTTGTAGGAACCATTTATGTCATTAATGTGATTTTCTAAGTAGCTAGTTTTCAAAATTTAAATAACCAAATGGATCAAAACAAAACAGATTTCTTCCATGCAGGGAAGAAGAAAACATCACAGCTGAATGCTATAACCATTTTCTTCTTTGAAACATGTCCATTAGAAAGGGGACAGCAACCAAAAAGAAGCTAAACTTCAAAGCCATCTGATGAGTAAATATTTCATCGGCACTATTCAAGTTTAATTTTTATCCAGCACTTAAGACTACTAGCCTTTAGAACCTTTTGCAAAGCATTACTGTCCCAGGAACCTTTTTATTTTACACACAAAACAACTGTAAAATATATTTTTTTTCGTTATTTCCGCATGATCAGCAAAGTAACAGGGATCCTTTGAAGATTTAAGAAATTCATTTTAAAAACTTTTGATTGTGTGACAAAAAGTCTGGATGCTAGGTATGATGTCTGTAAAATATCTATAATGACATGTACACATCCTAAGCTGTAAAATCTACAAGGCATACACATATGTACAAGAGCATTTCTTCAAGAGAATTTTCCATGTAGCCAAGGTTTCTTTAGTTATGACTAAAATTTGAAGTTATTAGCTTTGCAAACTGGTTGCTGACCTTTTAAAGCTAAAATTCCTGGGGGTAAATTTAGTATTTCAGTAGAGCTGGTTGACATAGCCAAGAAGACAAACATGTTTTAAATATCTACATGCACCATTTACAGGCCTATGTGGCCAGCACATTTTCTCACTCCCGGTATCTCACCATCTTTATGGTGTTTTGCATGGTCCTGGACTAGAATCACCATACCAGCAAAGCCTCAAGAGCCCAACAAAAGAGTGACTCAAAAGAAAATGACAAAAACAAAATCCAAAAAGCCATTCTCATATAGTACATCTCGGCCTGAAGTGCCATGGTAGCAGCTGCTAACATGTGGTTTGCATCCTCTCTGATTTTCAATCCAAGGTAGCCACACAGAGTCCAGTGGGACTAATCTCTTTTGCCCATTATCTCACAGCATGTTTTCTAACAGGCCAAGCAACACATTCTGCTACATCTCATTCCATGTGACTATGATATTCTCAAAAACAAAATGATTTACACTCAGGTCTGACAGTATACCAAGATGCTTAGAGCAGAGAAGTAGTTGAGGCCCCTGGAGCCAGTTGGTGTGAATTCAAATCTTGGTTCTGCCCTGTACTTGCTGTGTGACCTTGAACAAGTTACTTAACTTTGTGTCTCAGTTCCTTCATTTGTAAAATGGGATGGCAACAGTATCTACCACAAGACTACTGTGAAGATTCAATGAGTTAACAACATGCAAAATGCACTGTGACTCGCATATAGAACATGTTTAATAAATCATTTTATTTCATAAACATTTACACAGCACTTAATCTGTGCCAGACACCGTCCTAAGCACTTTACCAAAATTAACTCATTTAATATTCATGATCCTGAAAGGAGTCATATGGTCCCATATACTCATATCACCTACATTTGCATTTTAAAAATAAGGGAACAAGTCACAGAGAGGTCAGGTAACTTTCATGTGGTCATTTAGTTGGTAACTGGTAGTACTGTCTGGCTCTAGAATCTGTCCTGCTAACTGTGCCATGTGGCTCTAGCCCCATTCTCCATATATAGATCTATTTAGTGAGAACCAGCTGTACTGCAGAACCCTGAACATATAGGACATGTAGATTAATCAGAGAGTAAACATCACCTCATTTGGAAAAGGCACACAACAGACCTATAGTTGTGGGAGGTAGGGGGAGAGCACTCGATCATGAAATTTTTAGATCAGAGAGAGAAAAGAAATGTTCTATCACAGCAATTAGTCAAGGAATGCCTAATTCATGGAAAACACAGGATTGGAAATTACATGAAGGATAGTTTTGGCAGTCTAGACAAGGAGGGCTCTGCAGACATATGGCATGGCCTGGGGCTGCTAGACAGCAGGACAGGGAAAAGACTGGTGTACCAGGCAGCTGGGTGGGAAGAGTCCTCGCAGTGTTCTGATGCAAAAGACAAGAAACTTAGACCCAATCTATGCAGCAGGAGGCAATCTTCTGACAATGTTAATCTTCTCTCGTAAATATTATTTAAACATTTCATGTTTGGTAGCATAATCGATCCCATTACATCCTTGGGAATGAACAATATTATGACTGTATAAATTTCAGTATGTCTCAAAAAGAAATCATTGTACTAAGAAACAGAAATACTGTTATTATATTTACTGTAATAAGGGTTTTTAAGGAACAGGCATTTAGGATAAAGAGTTTATCAAAATCACAAAACAATATGTAGTATCCAATCACTTTACCTTATAAAACTAAAATGAAACTCCTGACCACGCAAAAAATGTCTGACAATTCTTACGAATTCTTATGAATGCCTCAGTTTAAACGGCTCGACTGTAAAGGGAAGGCTGTTCACTGCAGTGAACCCCAGCTACTTCCCTTCTACCTGAGTGTAACTGAGCGATCTGAGCCTCTCTCTCCAGCTCCCCATGGTGCAGATCAGAGTGAGAGGGCTCTTGTTTTAGGGACTGTCTGAAATCTAAAGGCAGAACCCCTCCCATGTGGTCTGCTTTATATTCACACACTAAGTGTCAAACTCACTACGAACTCAGTCATTCATGGCTGCCTTTTTTGATCTGTCCTTACAGGAAAAAAAGAGTTAACTGAACTGGATTGAATTAGCCTGGTGAAAAATAAAATGTCTCTATTTATCAAAGTGTGGCACCAATCTGCAATATCTTTCTCTTTGGACTGCCGTCCTCATGTCAGACAAGATATCGAATAATACACCCTGACTGCTCAACTGAGCTGTTGACAGGTTAAGGAAAATGGTGTTTTTAATTAGGTATAAAATAAACTTAAGATATGCTTACACTGAAAAAGAAGTCTACCTAAAATGGAACTCCAGAATTTAAAAAATTTAGTTTTAAAAATCAGAACTGAAGGAGTTTGCAGGTGACAGAGGATTTTAAAGTAAATTTTAAAATGGTAAAAGTATTTTACATTAGTATTTAAAAAATATTTTAAATGGAAAAAATGTTTTACACCTTAATGTTCTGAAGTTTTTAGGCAAAAGCTTAATATTTTTATTCTGTGATATTTTCAAATTTCAAAGAATTTTTCCAAGTACACTCTAATTCTTAAATTTGAAATTAATAGTTGTCAAATATTATATTTTAAGGAATCATTAATGTCTCTTCTATAACATCACTTACTAATTTGCCTTCAAGTTAAAATAAATAATGAATAAAGAAATAAGGAATAAATTGGTGAGAAACTGAAATTGTCCATCAATTTGTGCTATGGACTAGTCTTCCAATATATATGCCAGAAAAACAAACTAATATTTATAAGTAATAAAACTGATCATTGAAGTAATCACTATGGCATTTGGCAGTGATCAAAGTGTTTTTCTTTTTCCTTGTATTTCTCTTTTTTAAACATTCATCTGGAACAAGAATACCTAAGAAGGGAAGAAACTATCCAGATTAGAAACATGTACAGTACTTGTATCGACAAAATAACCCACAAAAGAATGAAGATTAAAACTGGTGAAAAGTGTTACTATAAGACAATGCAAACAGTGTAAATTCCTAGCTCTAGGATTTTAAATTTTTCAGTAAGAAGTCACATATAGCAACATTTAAAGCTCTTTGGAAGGCATTTAAGAAAGTATTATTAAAGTATTATTACACCTTCCAGAATATCTTCTTCCAAACCTCATTACTGCTGAAATTATAAAGCAAAGTTCATTCTGGCCTATAGCTTGGCCCATTTTGCATTTAATAAGTGAATTCAAGTTATGTACAAAACCCAGGAGGTGTGCCACTGGCTGGGGGGAGTATGGGGAAGGGAAAGGAGAGGGTGGGGGCAGGAGATGCATAACTTTCTCAACGTCCGTTACTTATTGCGTGTGGGAAATAAGTACAATTTCAAACTATCACAGAAGAATTTCTGACATTAATTATTTTCCAAGGAGAGTATTCTATTGATCTTGTTTAACTGAGAAAGTGGGTTCTAAAGACCTGGGGCTTCAGTGCTGTGACAAAGGCAGTTGGAAGGGGGTATATACTGAGAAAATATAATGTAACATAAAACCTTTAATGAGTCTGAAAAGAGGAAAAGAGAAATTCATCAATATTGAAATACAGAATGATGATGACACTAGTCCTAACAGCAGCTGGTATTAAATGCACTTTAACCATGGTACCAGGCCCTTTCTGAGCACCTCACATGTTAACTCACTTAATCCCACAACAATCCTATGAAGTGAGTGCTATTTTTATTTACCTTTACAGGTGAGGGAACAGGCACAGAGATGTTAAGAAGCTTACCCAAGTAACACCGTTATTAAGGGGCAGAGTCAGGATGCAAAAGGAAGCAGCCAAACTCCAGAGTTCAAGCCCTTAGACATAGCTTTGAATTCTTCCACCAAGGTGCTCTAAACTGCTCAGCTCT